GGACGAGCTTTGGATTGAAATACTTAGTGTTTACGTATTCCTTCTGCTTCTCCGCCATTAGGATCTGAAACCAGACGTCAGATCTCTGATATTAGAACCGAAACATTACCCGACTGACGGTCCGAGAGGATTTTATTGATTTCAGTTTCCGCGAAAGCTTAAAATCGCGTTGCGTCTTCACGTCAAACATAAAATTGTAAGGACAAAATACGAAATTAACTTTTATTTTTTTTGAGGTACTGTTGTGGGTGTTGCACATGGTATGTTGAGGTCTGTACAGTGTAAGCAATCGATAGCTCCAGCCTCCAGACCTCCGAGCTTTCATTGGTCGCGCCGTGCTGTGGAAATTTCCACTGAGAGAGTATGAAACCGGGTCAGGCACATGGCTTAATGCAGAAACCCCACCTGCATTACTGCAGTTCCCAACTCCCCTCCTTTTTGTTTCAGTGTAAATGAGAATTTAATTTAACTAATTCGCTTTACATTCTTGTCATTCAATTTCCGGGTTTTGTGTAGTCCTGATTCATGTCCGGATGACTGTCTTATGGGATACACGTTTCAGAGGTGCGCCCTGATGATGGAGGCAGTAAGATTCTCTGTAACATTTGTCAGGATGTACCGGACTACAAGGTGGTCGCCGCCCGTGAGAACATAAAACCTTGTATTCAGTCGTAATTCATTGTCATGTCCACAATACAGAACTTACGAGCGTGCAAAGGATTAATGCACGTGTTGCAAGAGGAGAACGTATCCGGTCTCATTATCCGTAACAGACGCAAAATCTCGGTATTCAGAGCGCGCAGGAGGAATTTAATCCTTTGTCGCAGAATCCAAATAATATTTAAACGTTCAGAAATTTCCCTCAAAGAAAACACGTGTCTCCATTACAGAGATCAGTTGGTTAATGCTTTTTTTTTAAAAAAAAATAATGGCCTTGAGAATCGTAAGAAATTATAGAATCACCCTGTATAATTAAGACCGCGCTTGAAAGGGCACGTGACGTACCTTCTGTGGATGAAAATCTTTATAAACTCTTTTCGAATTGCTTTTAAGATCGACAGATTTTACTTTTAAATCCTGTGAAATTAAATAATTTTCCATCTTTTATTGAAATCGAATGTTCGTTAAAGTATCCATCACTAAATATATTCTGAGTCACACGAAACCAATATACATTCTCACATTCTGTATCTTTTGCTCTTTTCTCACACGTGGTATATTTTTTTTGGGGTGGGGGGGTTTCCAGCTCAAGTTCTGCATCCTATTTTGTTTCTCACCCATGCGTGTAACTTGAATCCAAATCAAAATGTTCAAGGGAAAATGATTATGATTTATGTTATTTGATGTATAGCTAAAATGTAATGTGTTGTGTCCTCGAAATTATGAGAGGAGCTTGAGGGGGGAAAACGCAAAATTAAATTCTCAATGAATGACGAATCAGAGCTGCTTACTGCCAACATTACCATCATAAACATCCCGAATGACAGCCATCAACATGAGAAGCTTTGTTCTGGCCTGAGTTAAATTCTGTTATTTAAATGAAAGCATCAGCAAAGCTTAAGAGATTCCAGAACAAAAGATAAGAGCGTCTCACAGCAAAACCACGCCCACACTGCGTCATGTTCATTGATTATAACGCAAGTGCGTCACAGACTCTCTGGAAAATATCGCTCCTGGAACGGAAAACGAGAGGGCGATGCCTGCAGAGGTTTTAACCACCGAAACAGATTTGCTGTATTCGGCGGTGAGGGGGTTGGGGGTTGGGTAAACAAAGCACGAACTTGAACGAGTATTTGTAAACTAGGGGCCTGATTACCTGTTACAAAATGCCTGCAGAGTGTATTGGCGTCTCTCAGACCAGATGCGTGTTACATGACTGACCCCGAGACCTAGACGTAGAGGTTGTTTAACGACGTTATGTCAACAGCAGGTGAAATGAAAGCATGTTAAGGAAAATAAAGCGATTCGAAGTTGGCACGTTTCTAAAAAACCTTGGTTCTTATTCTATCAAGGTAGATGTGAATTTAATTTGATTGGCTCGGGCAATGACCCAATGACATTGTTTAGACACAGTGATAAGTGTACGGCTCCAGGACAAGGAATTTCTTTATCAACTGAGTGATATTGTTTGCTAAGGGCGCTGTAGTTAGTTCAGGACACTCTGAAATTTGTGACATCAGCTCAAATTTCAGTAGAGTACCATTTTATCAGATAAATTCTCTCTCAATATTATCTCATGACTCCATATTTCAAGTTGTCTCAGGGGATTTTTCTCCTTATATCAGTAAATTATTTGTTATTTTTCGTGGTGCTAGGATTATTTTGTTTTCGTTACTGAAAGCGTAGAAGTAATGATTATTCAGTATTAAGTTAATAGACGTTTTTAGTTTCTGCAGATAAAGTTCTTTGATAGAAATCGGAAGTTACGGAATCATTGTGTAAGGTGTGGATTGGATTCATATGGCTGAAGTTCGGAATCCGTGTCCGCCTCCTGTTAACGCGGTGTAAGCATTCAGTATTTGTAATAGCCGTAGAATTTATGGGTCGCTGAACTACTGTCAGCTGCAAAGAGAGAATCTGTTGCGTGGATTTAGTTCAGTGCGTGAAAACGTTCGGCACTTCCGCATAATGGCGATTCTGCAGTGAGCGGAGAAAACCGGCCCCGCAGGACGTGGTCTCTCAGGGCAATGCCTGCCGTTTTGTCGGAATGTCGATCTATTTATAGCTCAGAGAAAGTGCGTGATGATTCTCTAATTCACGGGCATCTCATTGTGTAATTCGCCGGAAGTGGCGATTATCTGGGTCCTCACGGTGTGTTTTCCATTGCGACATCACAATCTGATTCTAGTAACATTAGCATTTGCGGGCGGTCGGACATTAGGGTCAGAGGCGCCTGGTTAAGTGCGCAGGTTTTAAAAAAAGAGGGACTATTTTGTACTTTACAGAGGCAGAGACAAAGGGAGTTAATATTAAGCCTTCTGTTGTGTTGGTATAAAAACTCAATACTGCAGGCTTAACCCTATCCTTGTGGCATAACGAAAACTTACAACAATGGACTTCGTAGTTAAGAAATCTTAAATTTACCGACAATACACAACTTACAAAGAGATATTGAGTGAACTATTTCCTTTGTGGATGTGTGGTGAGTTATGTGGATGACGTATCCATGCTCCGACAATTGTATCTTTACAAAGTAACAATTGGGTGTAAAAAGATACGCGAAGGATTTGACCAATCGCGTTCTTATCAATAACTCGAATGAGTTAGTGGAATGTAGAACGAGGGAATATACTTCAGCAGACGGAAGGGTGACTCATTACTGCTGGAATCAAGGAGAACAGAGTTCAAGTCGTGGATAATCCCAGTACAAGAATGTAAGAGATGTCGTCACAATTATGACTTTACATGTTTCGTGTGATGAGAACAACATTATTACAGGGCGTTACGTAATTTCTACTCTGCACAAAATATTATTAGGATAATCAAACCAGGGATGGTGATGCGCGTACATGGGAGGATACTATTAAAAAATTGGCTCTAAATAGGATTTATGCTGCTCATAATGGGGGGCCAGTGGCGGACTTTTTTGAAAATGTTAGCGAATTTTGGAAAAGACGGAAATTTCTCAGCTGCATGGGGGTTGGTGAAAAAATTATGACGGCTTTAGAAGAACACCATGAAGATTGGAGGTAAAACTCCAGCGATCTTAACCTCAGCAGTAACAGGCGAAGGCAGTGAACGGATTCCCCCATTTGGCAACATCAGAGGAAAGTTAAGTCATTATTTGTGCAATTTGTTGGGGGCTTTCCTGAGAATTTCGTGCTGGTTAAGGAAGTAGATTGCAGTACGAATGAGAATGCATTGTTTATCATCCAGTCATGTGGGCAATGATTTACTTCCTCGTTTGGAATGACGATGTTTGTGGAGACTTGGCAACCTTGAAAAAAAAAAACTTGTTCTCTGCAGGGGAAATGGCCGAAATCACATGAGTGATAACGTTTGTTTACTGTGGCCCTGCTTTGTACAGGTTGCTTACGTCTGCATACGCAACAGAATTTAATTTTTAGTCTCTCTCTCTCTCTTCCCTGTAAAATTCTGAATACGACGTTTTTGAAGTAGTTTTCGTCCCGATTACGACGAAATCATAATTTGGTCGATGATCATAGCCGTAGTTTTTTTCTCTCTCGACATAAATTGGTCGATAATCATAGCCGTAGTTTTTTTCTCTCTCGTAATTTTAGACGTGAGCTTCTTCGGTGTACCCCGAACGTTTTGTACGAATCACTCTTTTAATCTCAAAAGTACTGCTTCATATCACACAATGTTGCAATGTTTAATATAAAAAAAAATCCTCAACCCTGAAGACGTTAGCAGTCCATTTCGCCGAAACGTTAGGAATCTACAAAAATGCATTCTTATTTTACGTATCTCATTGGCCTTGGTGTTCTTTGCTGATACATTTACCAGGAATATCTTTTTTATTATTTGTCTAATTCATGTAGTTTAATTGAAACGAGTTTAAATACCTTCAATTCAAAAGTCTTTTATTAGTGCAGACGCACTTGAAGCACGAACTCTGGACATTGTTAGTGGATGTCTCGCAAAATAAATTGCATTAACCATACGATGTTTGAAACGGACACGCCAAGATTTCTAGATTAACTTAAAAGGGTTAAAAACATAACCTGTGCCGTGTATCAGAACATACCACGGAATTTTCTCGAACACCACAAAGGAAGGATGTGGGATCCTGAGGATATAAAAGGATTCAACAGTATGAGCACATCAAAGCCGTATTCTGGTGACGTTGGGAATTTTTCAAATTATTCTTTTTAAAACGCTTATTCTATGCGGGAATACGTTTCTTCGAGACTGAAAGATGTGACCAGCATATATGGTCACCCCTTAAATTATATAGTTTTTGCTTCACACTTCAATAACCCTCGCCACCGGAAATCGTACGGCCTTGGTGTACATTGAAAACAAGTAACAAAACGGTGTGTAGGTAGCATAATATGATATATTGTTTCAACTGATATGATGGCCAATTTATTACTACAAAATTAAATTTAAAAGAAAGATATTTTGATCGTATAACATATTGACCTGATCTTAAAGCGTAGAACTCTTAGCTGCTAGCTGAACGAGGTTGTCAGGAACATTTTTTTTTGAAAAGTCATCAGGTAGAAGAAGAGAGGTCTTTTCCATTTCATACACTGTTAACTTCATTTATATATCATACGTAATTCAAAAGTACTTCTACAGCAGAAAGAAAGTACGAACTTCGTGATACACAACACCACTACTGGAATGTCTCCGCTATGCTTGACGTCTATAGCTACGAACAGCAACAAAACCCAAGCAGAAATCACAGTCTGGCTTTCAGTTTATTCCTCGATGGCAAAGAAGGGCCAACTACAACTCAAAAACAGTTCGTCCTTATATGCACTGAAAGAATCTAAGTGCTTTAAATATATATATATATATCTTATACATAATATATACCGCTATATACTGTATAATGATTATGAATAATTTACACACTTTCACCCGCGTCCCTCAACAATAGGCCTGCATCCAGCACTGACGTATATCAAAAGTACGTAGTCTTGTAATTATTTATTTATATATCACAGTTTCCATCTTGTTGTTACAGTCTGTAATACTGTCAACACTTGCTGTTGCCACCCCATACGAAGCCGGTACCGGGGTAGGACGACGCGGCACGCTGAGGGATCGTTGCCTCGCGGCTCCCGGATCGAGTCCTGGCGGGCACCACGATCGGAGTCGTAGTCGCCATTGTAACCCGGGAGCTGCTACGTCTCATGCATGATGGCGGTGGCTGGAGCGACTCGGAGTCCTCTTCAGCGAGTGTGCCTCAGGAGGACGCTCGCGTCTGATCTGACGTCTCGGAACCGTCAGGAATGGCGTCCTTGCCTCTCAAGGAACGCTTTAGTTTGTCGACCAGGCGGTTGTGGAACTTGTTGAGCGAGGACTGAGACCCGGACTTGGGCGGTGACGAGGAAGTTGACTTACTGGGCGACTGCAGGCTGGACTGGGAGGCACGTGAGGACGCCCTGGAGTACTGGCGAGATGACATCGCCATGGGGATTGATCGATGTGCCGGTGATCCCACAATGAATTCGCTGCCCGGAGAAGTCGACAGGCTAGGGCCTTCAGACTTGGAACACTCGGAGACTTTCCGACTCCTGCAAGACTGCGGGTTCGAACATTCGGAGCTACGCCTCGATCTGTTCGACTTGTAGATGTCCCAGTCGTTCTTCACTACAGGCATCATAAAAGCCATGGTTCACTGTTTTTCCGTTACAACTGCCAACAAAACAACTCACAGACAATCTGCTACTCAGTGCTACGAGGCGCCTTCCCCACCACCGTTTTATACATTCACCAGCGTAGAACTTGGAGCTAGGTCAAATGGATGAAATTCGGGACTCCTATTGGTCGACGGCTAAAGCGCGGCCCCTTACTTGTCAATGACGTCACAGCACAACGTAAAATTCACTATGTTTCCTATGATCCGTTGCGCAATAGGCGACAAGAGTGTACTCTGCCGACACGAGCATGTACTAGAATATGTGTAGGTGTACAGTTGTACTGCAACAAAACAAATCCATGTGATCCTAATGTTGTCGCAACAATTACACAAATTAATTTACATGTTACACAACTTAATACAAACAGCAGCAGCGGAAACAAGGAACGGGCTTGGTACAGGCCTTTTGGGCAGTGGTGTCGCCATTGTTATGGTTGTTTTATCGTCATCTGGTGCAACTGTTTCTCATGTACAGTAGTTTCGTTTGTACTGCTGCTAATAATGAGCGGCACGATGTTGATTCAGACATAAGATATGGCTTAGCACAAGCATGTCGGTAGCTATTAATAGACGACTGATAATGTATTCACCATCTTACCAGATCACGCTAATAATTTTGTTACGTCGGGAATGGAAACTCCGCCACAAATCAGTGTATTACCGTGCCACTTACATTTGAAGTTTATATGTAGTTTCGCTGGAAGGACTGAAACCTGTGACGATTATGCTGCAAATCCAAGTCTGTTTTTGTGATATGGGACAGTTTTAAATTCTAGTGAAAACTGAAATTGTTTTCACTCGCATCTCACACAATCAAAATTAACCCTCTGCGGAGAGCCGTGAGAAACTCAAATCTTTGTAGGGTTAGATGTTTGTTTTGGCGCCGTTTTCAAATAATCGATGTTTGTATCTCGTATGTAGGTGGGTCTAACCCACATTCTCCAAAATTTGATCGTAATATCTGACAATATGTGTTACAGAAAACATTTAATTGTTTTTGATTTCACGACTAGGAAATGGTATTAGTTTTTCATTCTTTTAGGGATTCCACATTTAAAACCGCAAAAGGAATGTATTTTGGTCTATCCTGTAGTTATTAATTTTAGTGGTTTCAGTGTTACCAATTTCTTTATTTTCAGTGTTTGCATTTCCCTGATTACAAATAAGCTGTTGGATCGGCTTGCGTTCTACATACAGGGGATGTGAGGAAAATTGCATTGGAAGGCTGTGGGCTGATCTACGAGCTATTATAAATTAAGCATTTGCGTGATTTATTTTTGTTAATCAAGGAAAATGAGGCATCTACTTGTTAACGACTGCAGTTTCTGTTACATATTAGACAACTTGTGAATGTGATCTCTCAAGCACATGTAGATGAAATAACTAAATATATTCTACTTGTCCTTCAAACAAAGATAGTTAATTAGTTAATTAGCTTTTCACAAGCACCACATAACGTGTAAGTCGTGTTGATCAAATGCTTAATTATAGGTCCTTGAAAGTGTGAGAGACTTCACATTGATCTTGAGTGTGTGACTTTCGTAACGAAATTTTCCAGACGAGCGATTGAGAATTATCAGTTTGATCTATATAGTACGAATATTTAATACACTTTTATATATTACATAATATGTAACAAGTTTTTCTTGAGTTAATTGTACTTTGAATAAATTAATTTCAAGGGACGGCTTTATTATGCAAACATTTCTCCGTCGTCGAATCCTTTTCAGATTACTGCTGGGACTTTCAAGTAAAAATTACCATTCAGGTATCAAAAGAGACAAAATGAAATGTGATTTTTGTAATACGTGATAAACACAAGAACATGACACGAAGTCAATCTCTGAAACAATCATAGTGAAGAATAACGACAGGCCTATGGGTGTAATAAATAATTTGAAAATGTTTCAAACTACTATTCGGAAACAATATAAACTAAGAGAAACGAGGTTCTTGAAGGAAAATACTAAATTATGCAAATGTCTGTTATGCACGTGGGATTTCGGTCGTGATGATGGAGGCAGCAAACTCTTCTGAAACGTCGGAATACTTTTATCAAACGACACAAAGCAAGAGGAAAACAGTAATCGAAGGATAATACGACAACAGCGTCATTAGTCGTCATTTTGTTAAACGATGTTCCCATACTTTGTATGGTATGCTGTAGCATGAAATTAATTTCCCACAACTGTGCGGGAAGAGGGAAACGTAAATATTACCATGTTCATACACTAGGTCTACTGCATCCTGCTAATGCGAAGAGAAATTAATTCTATTTGGTACCCCTGCAACGTCTATGTTCTTTTATTTGTAGCTTTAGCACGACTGAACAGTTTGGACATAAGTGAGGTTATGTTTTTGTGAAACTTTTGTGTTTTGTAAGGTATTAGACGCTGGCACGTTTAACACTATTAAAAGTTCATATGATTTCATGCTACCTTTATATTCAGCGGTATTGAGAGGAAGACTTTGATATTTTGCTCTTTGGTTGTTGAGCCATGTAAGGATAGTGGGTTAGTTCGTTGCTGAAAACACAATTTCTCAGCAAATCTGGATGAAAAGCGGGAAGTAATGATAGCCGCCTCCGAACCCCAGGTAATACTGATGGGAAAATTGCTGTCTTAGGTTCACCCTTCCATCTCACCGTTGAACACGTTAGCCTAACGCCAAACCTAACCAATCTGCCAGAATCCGATTATATGTTTATTGAAACCGACTATAAACTTGTTTCCATTTGTGAATGGGTGTGCTAAATGTAAACCAAAACCAAACCGAAACTTGCTTTTGGGTTTTTGTGAGAAGCACAGGACCCATGATACAATATTACCTAGTATGATAAAGTTTTCACAGTTTTCAGATAATATAGCCAAAAACTGAATGTTTTTTGTAGATGTTCAAAGATTATTATAAATTAATTGCCAATACTTGTACAGGAATTTGTGCCGCGTGGCCGGCAGCAGATTAAAGAACATCCCGGGGAGGTGGTGTTGCCATCTACACAACCACAGCTGCGTCCTGAATCATTACTGCTCCATCGTCTTAGTCAAGTGGCTATATCAGATACTCCTAAGGTATGGTTTGGTGAAGTACAGTGTAAGGACTTATGCACTCTGTATTAGTCTTTACAGTGAGGAAACTGATTGTAATGACATGCTTAATGATGAAGTACAGTGTAAGGACTTAAGCACTCTGTATTAGTCTTTACAGTGAAGAAACTGATTGTAATGACATGCTTAATGTCTATTAAATTCTCTAGTTTGTAATTTTGATTCCTTAACAACATTTTTCCATTTTGTTTTGATTGGAGATGTCTTTATCTTGGATTTCTGTGTCACAAGAAGTTGGAAGGTCTCTGAAGTGGTCTCATCTCTTCAGGCTTCCCAACAAAAATGTGTGCATTTCTGATCTCTTTGTATGCTACATGCTCCAGAAATCTCATCCTCATTTGATTTTGTCATTCTTATAATGTTTGCTGAAGAGTAAAAATTATGTTCTCCAACATTCACATGAAGAGCATGGAAACCTTCTCTTAGGATAGCTGGTAAGTTGGTCAAGATTTTTACCGGGTACCACCCAAATGTAACATGTTAACCACTGAGTCAGTCTGTCCAGTAATGTTGCATGTGTGATGATGTGAAGTTTTATACAGGAATCAGAATGGTGGTGCATCTGTACTAGTAAGAATGGTGATCCTGAGTGTGAAGAGGAGCTGTATGTAAAAGGAAAGACGGCTGTCTGGAGCCGGGGCGTTGACGGCAGTCAGGTGGTGCTCTGTTGCTACACGTGTGAGACGCCTGTCAAACATGCTCTGTGGTGCACATTCCACAGTTCTGCATCTGACAAACCTGTCCTTGAAAACAATGAATCCACATTCACAGATGAACCTAAAGGTAAGTGTACAGCTGCAGCTGGACCTAAGCTGGACAACTTGATTCCGGACTTATAGACTTTAATTATTTATATTCGGTACATGGTTAATCCTTGGGATGAAATGAGTTGTCAGCAACAAAATCCACAGACGAAATAGTTTAATTATGAGAGGAACCAAAGAAGTTTTAACAAATTTGTCCAATTTAAACCAGCTTTAAATAATATAAGTATGTAATATTAAAATATAATTTCTGGTTGTATATCTGTACCCTGATGGTGCTTCAAATTCATTACGAAACTTATGAACTTGACTGAATACATATTTTAAATGGTTGTATTTGACAGTCTAATTATTTATAAACCAATATAACAGATTATGCAATTTATACAAAAACATAAAATATGATTATTATTATTTTCAGGTATACCCATGTCATGTGTCTGTATAATTGACTCTGATAATGTGAAGATATTCACCAGTGAGGGCGAAGATTATGTTTCATCCCTGCAGTTCCAGGTGAGCTTTTGTTTTAGTCCTTACTGTAAGATGTAAATTTCAAGGAGAAAGAATGGGATTATAAAAAAAAAGATTATAAATTGGCCATCCAAATAATTATTTGTATTCATTAAAATACTTTTTTGATTTAGTATTAGAAATACTTGCATGGACTGTGACAAGACATTCAATACAGTGAAAGGTTTGTTTCAGTCTTTGTTCTCAAAATAACATTAATAAATGGTTTTTATACGAAGTTTAGTCACGAGATGAAAGCAAAATTTATGTAAGTATTGTAGTTGTTTTGTGTATCCTAGTAATAATGATAAAATTTTATAGACTGATTTGTCAGATCATCACCCACATAAACGTATGATGGATAGAGCGTGCATGTAGATTGTTCTCTGTAGGTCTCATTACAGACCATACAATAGTAATCTAAGAGGCACGTATTGTTTCTGTGCAGGTGGCTAATGTGTGGAGCACCAAGTATGGCATTATATTGGAGCGAGCCACAGAAACAACATCATCAAAGGTTGGCTGCAACTCTATGTTTGATATGCACAGTTCTTTTGGGAATTCCTTGCAGCTGCCCACCGTTTTTGCATTACTTCATCCAATGGATGATGTTTCTCCAGTATTGGCTAAACATGGTACGTGTGACACGTGGAGCTTTCTTATCTCCTGTTATGTGCAGGTATTTTGTCTCTATATAATGTATTTATGTCCTGCGCCGTAGCCGCGCGATCTGAGGCATCATGCTTCGGACCGGCGATACGGAATTTGCGCTGGTTCGAGTCTCGGGGGAGAAGAAATTTTCTCATGAGTTTTCGACCAGTGTATGGGACCAGTGCTAACCCAGCATCGTGAGGAAATTGGGGAGCTACAATGAGTAGCGTAATCCGGTCAGGAAAACTAACAATGGCTGGGGGTTCGTCGTGCTGACCACACGTCACCCTGTATCTGGTTGGATGATCGTTTACCTCTGCTTAGGCATGTGAAGTCGGCTGTGGCTCTCTGGAGCTGTTACGCCACGGATTTTTTAATAATGGATTTATGCAATGACAGGACATCTGACTAGTGGCAGTAGTTGGTTTGAATCCTGGATGGTATTCTGAAAATAAATTTAATTATGTTCATCATCTCTAGCATGGTAAAACAACTTTGTAATTATTGGTGTTGTAGTTCCCAGAGAAGTTTTGAATATGGCGGAAAAAATTTCATAGATCGTAGCAAGGAATAAAATACTGTTTATCCAGTCCATAGCTAGATGACTGATTGCTTCTGTCAGTATTGAATCTGCATGTTGGAGGCTGCATTATCTCCTATTTAACTGATGTTTTTTACATTATCATATCACATTTTTTCTTTTGAAAATGAAATTGTGTTCTATGTGTTGCAGGAAGTTTGTTCCACATGTCAGACCCATGCCAAAGGATTGTGTTCACAAGTGAGGAACCATCTATTTGCATGCTATACGACTCCAAAACAGGCCTGCACAGTGTATGGAAGATTCGCAAGGCAGTACCTGAGGTATATGCGTTTCATGAAATAGTTTTATGGATAATGTTTGCAGCGGACCCCACCACCCCATCACGGTGGCCACTTGATCCAAGGAACAGGTCTTGCCTGCTTGGATTCTGGGTTTAAATTTCAGTAAAGATACAGATGTTTATCCCCTTCTGTTGGTGTTGTGCTGTCCTGTGTAGTTACAGTCCTTGCCAGTGACTGGCTGACCCTTCATTCAAGGTCTCCTACCAGTTTTTCTGATGTGAGAAAATTTCAGAAAAATAATGTGTGTGGTATTTAGATTTAGATACAGTATTTCTGAATGGTGGAAAAAACTCTTTTGTCATGTGATTTGTATGAAGTGGGGATGGGGTCATCGTAGCTCGCATGTATGCCACTGAATTTACTTGTGGATTACTTAAAATGTTTATGAAAACCATGATTTTGTTTTGATGAATATAAAAGGGAGGAACTTTGATTGGTGAAATGAAGATTGCCTTTCGATAGAAGTGATTATCAGGAATCCTAGATTATCGGTTGATCTAATGCATGTAATTTCCAGGCTTTTTCATTTACAGGGTGGCTGAACATATGTGTTAAGCCAAGTGATATTGATCTTGTTTGCCATGTTATTGATTAACGGTCCTTCAGAATCCCCTATCACTTATTTGTAAGCACTTTCAGAGTGATGTAATTGTGTTGGCAGGAGAGTCAGGCTATGTGGAGCTATTTCGAGAGTTCGCTGAACCATTCATCTGGATCAATGTTGGCTGGGGGCAGTAATGGCAGCAACAAGATATATTCTGTATTTACCAGCACGGCAGTAGATGGCATCAAGACCAGCTTCACTTCCTCACCTCAGATGTCACGTTCTCACAGCCCCATGGCTGCTATCAGGTGGGCGCTTAAGTTCCAACAGTTTTACTGCTTGACTGATAACTAGATATCAGGTAAATATGAACTAGCGTGGATTGGGTGGAAGGATTTGTGGTCAGATTCTGTAGTTGTACAATGTGACATTCTTGATGTAGTGAAGATGATTATGTTCCTCAGGGTTGTGGTGTCATGTGGACTTGCTGGTAGATACCAGTGTTTTAGAGACGCATACTGTTTATATTTTTCAGCCATAAAGATAGAGACAATATGGATTTAGTTAATTATTGTAGCTACATCCATTATAGTCACTTTAGAATCATAACAGGTGTTACTGCGCATCATGTTAATTCATAAGTTCAATAATTCCCATCACATATCATAATGAATGACACTTTTGTATCATTAAGTCGCAGTTAGTGAATGGCGGATTGCTTATGTGTTTCAGCCGTTGCCAGTCCCCCAGTGTTTCTACTAGTAATTTGGCTCGCCTCACTCTGACTCCAACTTCTCTTGGATGGCGGTCGCTTTGCCAGAATCAGATATTCTCATTGTCTCCAGGCTCTGCGACTCCACCCCCTGATGCCAGAATGATGACGAGTCAGCCCCTGGTGGATAACCAGGTGGAGGCAAAACCTATTTATCCTGAACTGTGTCTAGAACATATATGGACTGAGAACCTTGGTGTGCCTCGGTGAGATTGCATGCTCTTCTGTGCCCATAGCTCATTTTCATGTGTTTGTCATGCTTCTTAACCCTTGTACTGTGACATGCGTTAAAAACAATGTGTTTTTGTACACTTAGTAAAGGTACGAAAAGTGTGGTAATATGAGTAAGGTCTTGTTAGATTCTGCTTTGTCATCTTGTTCTCCATTGCTGCTATGTTTGTTTTGCTGTCTTAATGCTTTCCATATTTAAAATCTATATTTGTTACATGCCATGGTTTTCGAGGTTAGACATTTTTAATCTTAATGTTGTATTACTTGTTCCTACAGTAATGTTATAATCTGATACATTTTTTATAAACTGTAATTCATATTACAAACCATTATTTAATGAACATAAAGAAGTATGAAAAATAATGTAAGTACTTAATACAAACATTTTGAATCCATGTAAAATTTTATAATTCTTAATTTGGAATGCTGAGAGATCTTACACTTTATTAAGTGTGCTGCCACATGGAAAAGGTTGAGAAACACTAGGTACTCCTCAGTTTGAATTTTGATAACATTTCCCATACAGGTATTCCAAAAGAATATATACACAAGGTTAATATTTTATATTATAATGTGTATACAACTTTTTGGGACATTCTGTATGTGTAATAACATGTATTATACTGGAATTTTGTTGATTTGTAATTTAACATTGTCAGTTTAGTCCTGTGAGTGGTAAAACATATTTAATTATATTTATGTGTTTTTTTCAATATAAAACGATAAATGTAATGTAGGTATGGTCTTATATTGACCTACAAATATAAACAGTTTCTTCAATTTTGAAACATTACTGTAAGACGAGAACAGTTTTGTCTGTAGGGTCTACAAACTTACCATGTTTCAGGGAATTCTGAGGGGATCAAGTTGGAAATTGTGCTTTCGTGTGCTGATCTGGCATGAAGTGACCCTATGAATGTAAAACTCTTCTTTTTGTAGGGATGTCTCATATGGGCCCACCAAGAGGGTGTTTCTGAGTTCTGATCTAGTGGGGCAGACCTACTTGTATTACTTGGTGCCCACACTTGGCCAACTGTTCTGCGCAAGACTCGAGAAGGCTAACAAGGAGCAGAAACTGATCTTTGGAGTTGTAAATAACATCACTGCCAAGGATGCTGCTCCTCTTCCGGTTAGTCAGTGCTTTGATGATATTGTTCTCCTGGGTTTTAACAACGCGTAGACTTGTAGGTAGATAATGACATTTTGGAGAAACCTACTGTCACCATCTTCGGGGCTGAAGCTGCATTTATGTTTATATACGGGGTTATGTTTGTATTAGTCATTGATTTTTTCTGAAACAGAATTTATTGTTCTTTGCAGCGTGCTATCATATTGTTGATTATCTTTCTAATAATATGTTCGTACAGCCATAAATGAACATCAGTGTGACTGAGGTATGAAAAATTTCAAACATATCTTTGAAAAATTATGTTTGGTGTCTGCTCTTATTAATTTAATGCCTTTATGTGTAGGCTGTGCGAAAGCAAATTTAGATTTCACTTTCTTTACTATACCTGGAATTAGAATTATACATAAGATTTTTGCTTGTTTTATTCATGTATTGTATGTGAGATTTTAAAAATTATTCTGAGCAAATAACATTATTCTCCCAGATTAGGTCCAGTTTTACTAATGTGATGTTTGCAGCGGTAATGTTTTATGGAGCTAAAGAAGTGCAGAACAGTCTTAAACACTCTCAGAATGCTTTGTTGGGTTTTCGTTGTCATTCTTTGAGCTCAGAGTTGTTTAGCCTGCTTCTTTGCTTCTGACTTTCCCTCTTATGTTCGTATTGCAGCATTTGAACATGATCGCAACAGTGGATTTAAGTGGAGGCATTGTGCTGTACTCTGGGATTAATCTTGTTGGTAAAGTTCATGTAGCGGGAATACCATCCGCTCTTACAACATCTTCATACCTGTCACTCAATCTTGGCTCGCAATTTGCTTCACCATTTCCCAGGTATGTGAACATTACACTGCAGTTGACGTTGGACATTATACAGTTTTTGTGTTAAAAGTTTTGTGTTCAACCCCAACTGTTTGTACTAATTTGTGAAAATGTAAAGTAATAACTATCTAGGTCTGGTAAGCTGGATACTTCCAGACAAATTCAGTATTCTGAAAGTTCTGCGTTTGGTCCTTAGTGTTGCTACCAGTCTTGGAAACTGACAGTGGTAAAGAAATATTTCAGTATGACAGCCAGTTAACTGCGGATGAGTAGACGTAACTCAGAATGTCATGCATCACATGCACCTCATACAATGGGTATTGTCCAACATAATTACTGTGCAAAGAATCAACCACCGTAACAGATTTTTATGCAATCATGTAAACTTGATGGCATCTTATTTAAATGGAGAATAGTCATAGTAGTAGATGTCATTTTAAATAACATGCCAGTCAAAGCTGTCTGTTCAGGAGGAGCAGCCTCTTGCCTTCGAGCCGACCAGCGTCGGGCATGGAGCCGCGTTTCGATGATGAGGTGTATATGTTATCTCCTGTTCATGCTTCGCATGAAGGTCTTGATAATTCACCATCTGCAGAAGATGCAAAAGGTTTTACACTGTACACACCTCGACAGGGACAACTAGCAGGACTCAGAGATGCAGTTGGCAGCCGTGTTACTCTGGTAGGTTTTCGTGTTTCACTGTAGTGATTATGTACATCTCTTTGTGAGGCTAGAGTATAGGCATTATACATTGAAACCATCATGGACACTGCAAGGCCCACCAGTATTTTATTTTTAACAAATTACTGATAGACCATATTTTGGTGCATTAATGTGAAGGTTTGTAACAGTAATGCCCATTTACCTTAAGAGTATTTGTCGCTTACTAATACTGCAGAAGAAAATAATATTGTGACAAAAATAAGATTATCAGTTTGATTATTTTGTTATATTTGTCAGACAGACTTGCCGAAATGCTGTTATAATTTCTGTTGTAGGAATACAGCGATGGCTCTCTCTTCCGAATCTCACTGCCGCAGCTTTGCTCCAGTCCACTTGGTGAGTTGTAATATTCATTTGCTTTATTAATGTAAAGAACTTGTGGACTTTAATTTCCGTTTCACCATGTCTAACTGTATAATCTGATAAAACATTAGTATTGAAAGTTATATGTCTGATATTTGAGTGGTGGCCATGATGTTAGGTGTTATGTTGCAGTGTCAGAATGTCTGAGCACCCTGAAGCAAGTTCTACAGCGGGACCTTGCCATGCATATCATCATCAAATGGTATGGCATACGCAATGCCCCAGGTACTCAGGATATTTGTCCAGTTCAAGAGTGGCAACTGTTCACTGGGGTACTGCTTGGTAAGACGTAATTCACTTTGAGAGATATTTGGTTTCTCGCATTAAGGGTGCTGTGGAGAATATTTGGACTTGAGAGAGAGGAAGTAACAGGAGGCTGGAGAAAACTGCATCGTGAGAAGTTTCTTAAAATTCATAGGTTGTACTCTTCAGCAAGTATTGTTGTGGTGATAAAATCGAGGAACATGCAGCACACGTAGGAGAGATGAGAAATGCATTTACAATTTTAGTTTGGAAACCTAAAGAGAAAGGACCAATTGGATACGTAAGTATGGGTAGAATGTTAGTATAAAATAAATCATAAAGCAACATGGTATGAAGATATGCATTGAATTCATTTACTTCATGGTAGGGACAAATGGTAGGTTCCTGCAAATATATTAATGAACCTTTTTGTTCTATGAAAGGCAGGGAATTTCTTGACTGACTGAGCAACTGTTAGCTTCTAACAGTAGACTCTGCTCTCTCCATTGCGTGGGTGATAACCAGTGCAAGGTGGGGATGGTTGGCTTCTGAGATATGACCTCCATTTTCCTTTGTATTCTGTCCATCACTGTGTATAGTTCATTCACTAAATGACATCAGATCTTGATTCAGCATTGTCTGTCTCATTGATACAGAAATGATAATTGTTATGCACAGAACTTGTGGGCTATGATGTGGAGAAGTTGCCTGTGATGCAGCAGCAGGAGTCACATGGGGCTGGAACATCAGGCATCCTCAACAAGAAGAAGCGAGTATCAGATAGTGGGTCGGAATGGGACTGGAATTACCTGCTGCTTTCAGGCCACCACCGCTCACTGGGCCGTGGGCTGGCTTGTTTGCTGGGCCTGGAACCTGTCGAGGCTGTGGTCCCACCCTTCAGCCCATTGCCTGTCCCGCAGATCAATACCAATGCAGTACTCTTCAACAGTATTCCTCTCATATTGTTCTCTCTGCATATGCTGTATGAGGTATGTACTGTGATTGCTCAGAAACACACCGTAACATATTCACTCCAGGAATTGCAATGTTACAGTATATGGTACCACATCTTACTACCTGGAACTGTAACATTACATTTTGATGCAGTTTACTTTTCATTGTTTTTTTCCCTCTGTTCCTGGTATATGATAAATAACTGACCCAAGTTGTGTTTACTGACAGGAGAAAAGGGAAGCTTAGACATTATGTTGATTGCCTACCTATCAAGTACAGCTGTGGCAATAAGAAAGTCATGCTGCTGCAATGCAGAGGCGTACAATATGTCCAGCATATCCATTATTCAGTTTTTACAATAATAGTAACTTACTCCACCAATGATGTTGTATGAATATAAAGAATATTATACACACAGTCATATAAACATCATTCCATCATCTGATGTGTTTAAATGTACACTGTACACAAGATAACTTTCTCCTGTGCTGCTTCGCACCAGTACCCGATAAACGGACAAACAGCAGCGCTCTTAGTACCCAGTCAACAGTCGTTTGTTGGGTGACATATCTTATTAATAATTTAAATATGGCATCTGTAATATGAATTTTGAATTTGATTGAATATGGATCTTTTAAACAATTAATTTTTAATTTTAATTTCAAGTATATTGTTTTTTCTTAGCTTGTGAACTATACACACACACACACACCTGATTCTATCCAGTGTTGTTAATTATATTATTAATTTAATAAATACAATTTAAATCTGTAGGCACTGATAAAATTCTGAATGAAACATTTGCGTGGTATACAGACAACTATTGTAATTTTCTGTATGTTTCAGGAACTGAAGCTGAACATGCTGCTAGCAGAGAGCTTGCCACTTCTGTCCCAGCTCCTACACCAGCTGGCCTGTGATCTCCATCTGCAGGAATATGTTCTCCATTACTGGAAGGACTTTCCATTCCACTGTCCCCTGGTGACCTGCACACTGGTGAGACTCTGGACTTTATTATCATACACTGCTCCTTCATTCATAGAAATGTGTTGTCTTCAGTACCAGATCGGTGCCATTGCCGAAGCTTCTAATTACAGTATTTTATATTTTTAATTACTAGTATGTCATATCTTTTGCTGTCATATATTTTACTTACCATTCTTTTTCTCTGGCTGCTTTAAATTGGTTTGATATCTTATTTTGTAATTTTGGCAGCAAGAGAGCCAGGTCACATCAATAGACCTCAAGAAACTGTCGTTGCCAAGCTTCATACCAGCAGATCCCCCAAGTATCTTCCAGCATTGTTACCAGTTGATACGCAAACAAGATGTAGAGCCTTTTCCGTACATCAGTCATGTCAACAAGAAGACGAAAGACATCGTGCAGGTGGGTATTAGAGCCTTCAGTTTTATGTGAATGTGATTTATATACAGATGTGATCTATTGAAACAAAATTAAATTATCCTTTGGTACTTACTTAATTTCATAGTCATAAAAGAAATCACCATGAAGCAGTATTTGAGGTTCTCACAGTGGTGAGTTTGAAGGTGGCTGCTTTCTGGGTTATAACACAGTTTATGAGTGTTTCAGAGGTCCTTCCTTACTCATTGCCCTGGTGATGGAGACAACAAGGATCCCTGAAACAATGGTAAACTTCTACCAGACTATGCCGTGTTACAACCCAGAAGACAGTCATCTTCGAAATAACCAAGAAGTTTATGTGATTTTCTTAAGTATTAAGATCAGTAGAGTATATAATGAGTTTTGGAGTTCTTGAGATCTTATTTTGAGTAAATGTGTTGTGTTGCAGTTAGTAGCACTGCTAACTCTTGGCTATCAGTTTCCTCACCTGCAGTTAGATAGCTTTGTAAAACCAGTGGTTCCCCCTGGGAGCAGGGCAGAGCCCCATGAATTGCTGTCAGCCCTTGACACAGGAAACAGTACAAAGTACCCAGTGCCTTATCGAGCTGTGCTACTCATGGCTGAGATGGGTATGTAAATAATTTATCTTCTTTTCCACCTGAATCCTGTATTGTCGTAATAAAAGTTTACCATGTTAACATGTGTATGTGAGCATATTTCAATACAATGAGCAACAGTTCAAAGATTTTTTAACAAAGAAGTTATTCATGCTTTATTTTCATGTTATTCATGTCTGTGGTTACAAATATCTTCACCAAGATGTTTTTGAATGTTTCAGTATCTGGCAACACTAAAATAGCTAGCCCAGGGGTCAGGCATATTGCTAGGATGGGGGAGAAAGTGTTGAATACAAAATTTTGGTGGGGGAAATCTCTTGCAGAATATGCATTTGGAAGACGGAGAGAGTGATGTCAGTATAACATTAAGATGGATCTTGGAGTGGTCAGATGTGCAGATGGGAGGTGGCTGGGACTAGCTCAGTGTCGTGTCTAATAGCAGGCTTTGGTCTTAGCAATCCTGAACTTTAGTTTTTCTTACTATAGTGTCAGTTAACGTATACTATAGCAATAATAGGAAGCATATATGTTATTTGACACTTATGTTAATTCCACATACTATTGTAGATGCTATTTTATTATCTGAAATTAATTTAGTGATGTTATGTTCACAGGCATCACACGACGAGAATTGCAGACGTTGCCAGCCGGCATAGCTCTGTTGCTCAATGATGCCATCTACAGCTGTCGTTCAGACCCACCATCTGACTGGCCAGAGTCAGCATACAGACTGATAGTGCGACAAGACCTTGCTGCACATTGTTGCCATCCTAAGCAGCCAGCTGGACCCGGCAGTAGGAGTGGTGACAGTCTGCACACGCGTCTCCCCCAGCCTCCTTATCAGTATTCCAGTTTTAATGATACCAGCAGGAAAACAGCTGTAGCAGCTGCTACTCGAATGACAGAGTGTGAGCAGGATGATGGAATGGAGGCCATAAACCAGGAAGTAAGCATCATCTTGTATGGTTTGAACAGTAATGAACTTTGGGCTTTCATGACTGGTATTGAATTTGTTTCAGTTTCAGATTTTAACTACATTAAATTTCATCTTCAGTGTTTATACTGGTTTAGGTAGGATCATTTAGGTAATGATAAAGCACCCCCAGCGTATTATAACTTAACTTACTACATGGATCAGAATCATTCTTGACAAACTATTAGTCACTCAATTAGTCAAATTTACAATCTTTTTTGGAAACTGGAGATACATTATCATGTTAACAAGCGCCCACAACTGGCCCCTATCATGGAACCAAATATGTGCTACTGAATGCTGATTTAAAGTTGGTAGGTGTGTGTTGAGGTAGAATTGGAGTTTTGGTTATGCAGTTTATCAGGAAACTTAACATCCTTACATCTGTGGTGTTAGGAAGTGTTGTATTTCCCTGAATATAATGTGTACTCTCTTTTTTTGCCACTGTAAATATTAAAAATTGAGTCTGTGCCGTAAAGGTCGTAGGTGAAAAATCGGCTTTAAATTATATTTATACATATTTTTTGGAGAAAGCTGTAAATTTTATTTATACATATTTTTTGGAGAAAGCTTCTGGTATAGTACTTAACAAAACTGGACACACATGAATGTTATGTGAAGTTCATTTTCCAAGAAGTATTTGGAGGAAATGAGAATGTACATTATATTTGATGGAATATGGGAATTCAGTGACAGCTCTTGTTTTGATTTCTTGTTAAATATAAACGTATTGCAGAAGGTCCTGAAACTTC